ATAGGATTCCAGTGGTGCCAGAACCCAGAGCAACAGCTAGACCGGAGGGAAGAGGTACAGGAACCCCCACCTCAAACAGTGCTGCTGAAAAGCATCCATCATGAAGGCCTTGCAGTCAGGGAATGGCACCACGTACAATGGGAGACACCGAGACCATGCGAAGCAAAGAAGTCCACCTCTGAGCAGCCATATGTCCAGCAAAGCTAAAGGAAGGAAGCAGTGTTGACCGTCCACTCCGTTGAAAGAGAAATGAAGCACGACAGGCCATTTGCCAGGACATTGGACGCTCCCTGAATATGAACAGTACAGAGCTAAATCCTGAGAACTCAGCAGAAGAGTCACCCAAAGTGACCAGCTCCAAAAAGCCACAGACTGAAACGACCCCCCCCCCATCCTGGTTGAGACAATGAACCACAGGGAAGCAGTCCGAAAGAAGCTAGATCACCAAGCCCCGGGGAAGCTGAATCCTCCGCAGTGCCAGCCACATCACTGCAAACTCCCGCACCATGCTGCGAGCCCAAAGCAGAGACAGCCTTAAATGCCCCTGGCTGGACTGGTGAGCACTGATCACAAAGTCCCAGCTGACAGACGATGCTTCCGTGAACACACTGAGCGAGGGAAGAGGAGGGCGCCATGGCACCAAACCCTGAAAATCCCAAAGAGAAACCCGGCGATGCAGCAGCTGACCTAGGGACATCGCGGGCCGAACCCAGGGATTGCAAGCGCGGCAAAAGAGGCCACCCCGAAGATATCAGAACAGCCTCTAAAGTCAAACCCTGTCCAGTGGATAAACCAGAAGAGGCTTCCGCACAGTGACTTGAGCAACCGTCAAGTGACTCAGGTCCCCCCCTCAAAAACAGCAGATGGCGGTACTGCAACCAGAGCAAGGCCACGGGAGGGAGGGAGACAGGGACACTATCTTAACATTTTCGCTCGGGCATGACGCAGCATTGCGTCATCCGTTTACTGTCGGTAATGCCGGGGAAGACGCAGCATTGCGTCATCCACTTTAAAAATTCGCCAAAAATTAAGTTTTTATCCGATTTTTTTGGGACTGGTTTTAAAATGCGCGCCGATGTCTTCCCATTTTCTTTGTTGCGCCTAGTGGCCCGCAGGCGGCGCGGCACACGCCGTAGGCCCATTGTTTTCACTCCACTGTTGTGACCGGTGTCGCCTCCCCCCGCGTCTCAAACATGTAAACATTTCGGCTATTTTCCGTGGCTATATTTCTTACTGCGGCTTTAGAAACTATCTACGCTTACTCCACGATGGATAGTGATCATGAACAAGGCCCTTCCAGGAAGAAAATTGCGAAAGAAAGGCGTGAAAAGCAGAAGCTGAGTAGTGTACAGGAGAAGTACAAGCATGTGAGACTAACTCCCTCTAGTTTCAGGCTGTATTTGACGATTTGTCTGGGTCATCTAGTGATGAAACTGATGTCGGTATTGATACTGATGCAAGTAGTGAACATTTAGAAACAGAGACGGCCGATGAGGATTTTGATAGTGATGAAAGTGAGGAAAGTGAAGAGTCTGAGGTCGAGACTGCCACTCGTGCACGGCGCGGTACTGGAGCTCGTGCTAGAGCCAGATGTACCACACGTGCCACACGTACCCCAGCACCAACAGATTCTGATGATGGATGGTGTAGTGACAATACTGCACCCTTTGTGGACAATTTTACAGGTACACCAGGCTTGACTGTTCCTGTACCTACCACTGTTCTTGGTTTCATTCAACTCTTTCTGACTCAAAAATTGCTGAAATATATTGCCTATGAAACAAATTTATATGCTTCCCAAAATAAGGCAGGTACTGGGCAAAGGACAAAGCACAGATGGCAACCAGTGACAGTGAAATAAATTGCTAGATATTTGGGACTGACGATCTTGATGGGTATCAAGATCGTTCCCATTGCCAAGACTTAGAATGTATTGGCAAACAGGCAGATTCTGGCACATACCTTGTTTCAACACCTTCATGACAGGTAAGCGATTTGAAATGATTGCTAAATATTTCCATGTTTATAACAATAAGTCCATACCACCAGGCCAAGGAGTTGACAAACTTATCAAAGTTCGCTCACTCATGCAATATCTCCTGAATAGATTCAAGAGAATATACATTCCCAATAAAAATTTGAGTTTGGATGAAGGGACAATGCCATGGCACGGCCGTCTATCTTTCAAGACCTATAATCCCAATAAACCAGATAAATACGGAATAAAGCTCTACATGCTAGCTGAAGCCACCAGTGGCTACATTTATGATTTTGAAATCTATTCAGGAGTTGGGAAAACGACGATTGACACAGTTATGGCCTTGATTGAACCACTGAAGGATAAAGGTTACCCTTTATATATGGACAACTATTACAATTCGGTCAGATTGAGTGAGGCACTGCTTCAAGTAGGGGTATACACCTGTGGTACCCTCAGACTGCAGCGTGGTGCACCTAAATCCCTTCAGATGCAAGCAAAGGGTAAAGTGCCAGTAGATAAAACTTTATTCAAACGCAAGGACAATACTTTCATAATTTTGTGGAAAGATAAACGAATTGTTTCACTCATAACAAATTGCCACAATGCAGAAACACAACAGGTTCAACGCAGAAAACGAGTACGGAATCGTGATGGAACAACCTCAGTGCAGCAGGTAACTGTCAACGAGCCGAATGCAATCTGTGACTACAATACAAACATGAAAGGTGTTGATCACTTTGACCAAATGATCAAATATTATCACTTCACAAGGAAAACACACAAATGGACGAAGAAAATGCCCTTTTATTTTGTGCAAATGGCTATCTACAATGCTTTTGTGATGTACAACTACTACACAACAGATAGAAGGAAACTGACATTACTCCATTTCCATGAACAAGTCATCACTGCACTATTGTTCTATAAGTCTAGTAACTGGCCTGAGGAAGATGATGACATCCCACATGCTGCTGATGTCAATGCCACTGGAGCCAATGTTGCAACACCAGGACCATCAACACCCAGACCTCCAACAGCAGGACCTTCAGGTGTGAGGCGCCCACTATTCACTTCACCTGTACCTGCAGACTTACCTTCATCATCTGAGTCAGAAGACGAGGCCGTGATTATCACTAGTGGTGCTTCTGCTGCAACAAGACCTCGTATTGTGGATAATCCAGACCGCCTCAGAAGAAACTTGTCCCATACCCAAGTAAAGATACAGAAGCGTCTGAGGTGTTGTGTGTGCAAATTGTCGGGTAAAAGGAAGGACACACAATATAAGTGCAAGACGTGTGATGTGGCATTGTGTCCTGCACCATGCTACAGCAGATACCATCGAAAGAAAAAATTCTGGGCCGATAAGCAGTAATGCTTGCCCACCATCCACTCCACCTATACAAAACATGGGTTGACCCTGCAAGAAACGTTTTCCAGGAGCAGGTGGAGTGGATAAAACAAATGTTCAACCCATGTCATGTTCAACACACAACACTGAGGTGGTAAGTACAAATTTTTTTATTATTTTTTATTTATTTTTTTTGTTCATACTTTCCCGTATTGTACAGGCAATGTTGTTCTTCAATTGGCCCTTATATGCACATATCCATCTAAAGAATTCTATTAGGAACATTTTCATACCTAAATGAGCGCTGTAACACGAAAATTGAGATTACCACCAGGAAATAATACTAAACATTTGTGGGCGGGAATTGGGAGTGTAGCTGGAAGGCGTCTGAGCGCTCACTCACGGCTAATGCGTGGCCCGTCTTCAACTCGTCGGCGGTTGGAGCGTGACCAGGTTTTTTATTTTATATGCTAATGTTCCTCTAGAGAATTCTATTGTGAACCCATTGAGACCAAAATGAAAGACCTAGGACGAAAATTGAGGTGACCAGAGTGAAAATAGTGAAAACATTTTATCGCGTTTGCGCGCTCCTGGGTAACTCGTTCGCACTTTCTCTGTTTGCTGCGGGTAATTAGCCGGGCTTTTGGAGTTTATATGCATTTAGTGCTGTAGAGAATTCTATTGCGAACACAATGATACCAAATTTTATCTTGTAGAACGAGAATTGAGGTGACAAAGTTGAAGAGAGTATACACTTTTCGGAATTAACGCGCGCTCCCGTGACACACTGGGACCCAAATCGTATAGTTGAGGGGTGGCGCACGGGGTGCGCGAAAGTGTTAAGGTTACGTCGAGGTGATTCCAGGGCTTAGCTACCCTGCGACCTGGTCGTTGACCAGGCCTTCTGTCCGAGAATCCAACACAAGGCCCCAGACCTGGGATGGAACCAACTATGACTTCCGCCAGTTCACCAGGAACCTGAACCCGGCAAGCTGGGAAAGAGCCAGATCCCTGGCTAGCAGACAAGCAGACCAGCTGGGAGACCACACCAACCAGTTGTCATGGTAGGCCAAGACTTGAAGACTTAGCAGATGGAGACGGCCAGAGGAAGAAAATGCAGAATAGAATGTATAAACATCAGAGGTCAGCGGTTGTTCAACACCCTCCCAGCGAGCATAAGAAATACTGCTGGAACAACCGTGGACATCTTCAAGAGGAAACTAGATTGTTTCCTCCAAGGAGTGCCGGACCAACCGGGCTGTGATGAATATGTGGGCCTGCGGGCCGCTCCAAGCAACAGCCTACTGGACCAAACTCTCACAAGTCAAGCCTGTCCTCGGGCCGGGCTTGGGTAGTAGAAAAACTCCCAGAACCCCATCAACCAGGTATGAACCAGGCCACCACGACACGAGTGAAGCAAGGAAAAAATCCAAGGTGTCAGATTCAAAATGAACGGGAGACAATGAAAGTGGTGAGCCTGTCACCCCACCACAAAACCTAACCGATCCCTGAACTCCGAATGGATAGGGACGCCTGGGGAGAAATCTCAGTGAGAGCTTTTGAGAGCCACCAACGGGGTACCCCCAGAAAACAGCCCTATGTATATGGGTGACTTTTCAAATGTAGTCTGCAAGGGATTAAGAACAATAAGGTTAAATTTTGTGACCTTACCTTCCAATATATGGTGTTTCCACTTCCCATTCATTTCCTCTCTCCTGGCAAGTCATATTCATCTTGGATTCTTGTATCTGTTGATTGTCAAAATCAAGAAGTGGAGTCCAGAAAGAAGAGTTAAGTGAAGTGTGCCCAAACATTCTACGATTTGGTGGACCCATTAAAACTTGAATTTGCTTTTGCATGTGTTTCGACGGATCTTCAAAATCGTTGTTTAAACTCTGTGATGGTTTAGGTGGAGAGGGGTTACTGCCAGCTTCAAATTCCTTCTGCCTTTTACCGCTCTGCAGACCTTCCATTAAAGCACTTTCAGCCGAATCATCAATATTACCCATGGTTGACTTGTCAAACATATCCTCTACATCTTCTCCTACTTCCTCTAAGCCTAATCTTACACTATCTTCAATATTTTCATCTGATGAAAATGACTCATTTGAATTTTTTGGTTTCAAAGGGGAATTATTAACAATTTTATCTGTTGCTGTTTCATGCACCTTTTTCACTGTCCTTGTGTTGTGAGCTTCAAGCTGGGTAAAGTCACGTTTCTGGGCTGGAGACTCATCCTGGTGATTTCTTAAGCCAGCCAATAAACCTGCTTCTTCATCTAAAGCTGTATTAATATAACTTCGGTAGCAAGCTGGGCTTTTACTTTGATGGTGAACTGGGCTTTTACTTGGGTAGTGAGCTGAGCTTTTACTTGGGTGGTGAGCTGGACTTTTACTTCGATCATGAGCTGGGCTTTTACTTCGGGAGCAGGCTGGACTTTTACTTCGATGATGAGCTGGGCTTTTACTTCGGAATCGGAATGGACTTTTACTATGGCAGCGGGCTGGACTTTTACTTTGGTTGTGGGCTGGACTTTTACTTCGGTAGCGGGCAGGACTTTTACTTCGGTAGCGGGATGGACTTTTACTTCGGTAGCGGGCTGGACTTTTACTTCGGTAGCGAGCTGGAATTTTACTCCGGTAGCGGGCTGGACTTTTGCCTCGATAGCGCGCTGGGCTTTTTCTTTGATAGCGAGCTATGTTTTTTGCTTTGACAGGGCCTTTACTTCGGTAGCGAGCTGGACTTTTCCCTCGATAGTGAGCTGGGCTTTTGCTTTGATAGCGAGCTGGGCTTTTGCTTTGATAGCGAGCTGGGCTTTTACTTTGATACCGAGCTGGGTTTTTACTCTGATAGCGAGCTGGGCTTCTGCTTCGAAAACAAGCTGGGCTTTTGCTTCGATAGCGAGCTGAGCTTTTGCTTTGATGGCGAACTGGGCTTTTACTTCGATACTGAGCTGGCCTTTTCCTTCGATACCGAGCTGGACTTTGACCACTTTTGTGAAGTTTCTCCAATCTATATATTTTGATTGGGAAGCTATCTACGCTACTACTTCTACTTCGAAGATTTTTTAAGCTGTGACTTCTACTTCGAGGTGTATCTGTACTCTCACTTCTACTTCGAGACGTATCTGTACTATCACATCTACTTATGCTATGACTTCTACTTCGAGGTCTATCAATGCTATGGCTTCTACTGTGAGATCGATCTAGGTTGTGGCCTCTATGCTTTTCTTTTACTTGGATAGAGTTTCTGTTTCGAAAACTTGGGCTACGACTTCTACTTCGACACAATGAATCACTTTTGTGATGCTGAGTGGAGCTAATACTCTTATTTCTGTGATGAGGAAGGCAATAACCTTTAGTTTGATGGTACGGGGGACTACGGCTTCTACTCCGAGTTGGACAGTTATGGACTATCTTTTGACGTACATTTGGGCTCCTACTGCGACTAGGGCTTCGCTGATATCGCCCACGATGCTCTTGTATCTGATGAGAAGAATATCATACATAAGTGCTGTAGGTATAAAGATAGGGATACTTCAAGAAAGAAAACAAAGGGAACTCTTGAGCAGCACTTTCCCCACATGACAATATTGGAAAAGGTGTTTTAAGTTAAAGGATAAACATTTAAATGTTTCCTGAGATAAAATGGAACAAGAAAATCATCTGGAGTAATGTGGAGGATTTGAACCCTTGACCTAGGAACTTCCAAGCTGCACACATTTCCTCTGGACCAGGCTATGGTATAAGTTATACAACCTGGGATTTCACTAAATCCATAAGATGTCTAGATGCCCCTACTGAACCATGTCCAGGTTTTACATATAATTAGTGATGGGATGATACTAAAATTTCTAATGATTCTGATACCGATGCTGATTCTTTTAAAAAATATAGATGGATACTTATTTTTCTGAAAATTGTAGTATTTTAACTTGGAAAAATTAATGATTTACATTATGAGCATGGGAAATGAATTAATAATAGATTGATTTAAGAATAGAGAACAATTGGTAAATCCAGTTTAATCTTCTGGGTGAATGATGACAAAACCACATATCAGATTTCTCCTTCTGGGAGAAACCTGAAAATTTTCCATTATACAGTGCATCCTCACTCTAACGAACCCCCGCTCTATCGAATTCCTGGATGATTCGAACAAATTGAATTTGGTACTAAATGTTCAGTGGAACGTACAAATGTTTGATTAAGCGAGGATTGTTCGGCCAAGCGATCACCGAGACCGAGCTGTCATAGTTGATGACAGCCACTGTCATCAACTATGATTCAGCAAAGTGTAAACAGTTGTACAGTATTATATTTTGCTTACCCATCGTTTCCAGTGAGAAATGGTTGAAGGATGATAAAATGGTGTCAGGGGAGGCAGGTTGCATCATTGGTGAGGGTTGGAGTCTGGGGTCAAGGGGTGTCAGTAGTTGGGAGTTTAGTGTCAGGAGGCAGGTGGTGGAAGTTATACTCATTGGGAGTTGTCAGAGAAGACCTGCTGGTGTCAGTGATGGAAGTTGTTAGGGAAAGCAGGTGGTGTCAGGGGAGGCAAGTGGTGTCAGGGGAGGCAGGTGGTGTCAGGAGAGGCAGGTAGTGGCAGGTGGTGTCAGGGGAGGCAGGTGGTGTCAGGAGAGGGAGGTGGTGGAAGTTATTCTCATTGGGAGTTGTCAGAGAAGACCTGGTGGTGTCAGTGGTGGAAGTTGTCAGGTGGAGGCAGGTGGTGTCAGGGGAGGCAGGTGGTGTCAGGAGAGGGAGGTGGTGGAAGTTATTCTCATTGGGAGTTGTCAGAGAAGACCTGGTGGTGTCAGTGGTGGAAGTTGTCAGGTGGAGGCAGGTGGTGTCAGGGGACGCAAGTGATATCAGGTGTTGTAAGGGGAGGCAGGTGTTGTCAGGAGAGGCAGGTGGTGTCAGGTGTTGTCAGGGGAGGCAGGTGGGGTCAGGGGAGGCAGGTGTTGCCAGGGGAGGCAGGTGGGTTCAGGGGAGGCAGGTGTTGCCAGGGGAGGCAGGTGGGGTCAGGAGAGGCAGGTGGGGTCAGGGGAGGCAGATGTTGTCAGGGGAGGCAGGTGTTATCAGGGGAGGCAGGTGTTGCCAGGGGAGGCAGGTGGGGTCAGGGGAGGCAGGTGTTGTCAGGGGAGGCAGGTGTTGTCAGGGGAGGCAGGTGGGGTCAGGGGAGGCAGGTGGGGTCAGGGGAGGCCGGTGGGGTCAGGGGAGGCAGGTGTTGTCAGGGGAGGCAGGTGTTGTCAGGGGAGGCAGGTGGGGTCAGGGGAGGCAGGTGGTGTCAGGGGAGGCAGGTGTTGTCAGGGGAGGCAGGTGGGGTCAGGGGAGGCAGGTAGGGTCAGGGGAGGCAGGTGTTGTCAGGGGAGGCAGGTGGGGTCAGGGGAGGCAGGTGTTGTCAGGGGAGGCAGGTGTTGTCAGGGGAGGCAGGTGGGGTCAGGGGAGGCAGGTGTTGTCAGGGGAGGCAGGTGGGGTCAGGGGAGGCAGTTGGGGTCAGGGGAGGCAGGTGTTGTCAGGGGAGGCAGGTGTTGCCAGGGGAGGCAGGTGTTGTCAGGGGAGGCAGGTGGTGTCAGGGGAGGCAGATGTTGTCAGGGGAGGCAGGTGTTGCCAGGGGAGGCAGGTGTTGTCAGGGGAGGCAGGTGGTGTCAGGGGAGGCAGGTGTTGTCAGGGGAGGCAGGTGTTGTCAGGAGAGGCAGATGTTGTCAGGGGAGGTAGGTGGGGTCAGGAGAGGTAGGTGGGGTCAGGGGAGGCAGGTGGGGTCAGGGGAGGCAGGTGGGGTCAGGGGAGGCAGGTGGGGTCAGGGGAGGCAGGTGGTGTCAGGGGAGGCAGGTGCTGTCAGGGGAGGCAGGTGGTGTCAGGGAAGGCAGATGTTGTCAGGGGAGGCAGGTGTTGTCAGGTGGGGTCAGGGGAGGCAGATGTTGTCAGGGGAGGCAGGTGCGGTCAGGGGAGGCAGGTGTTGTCAGGGGAGGCAGATGTTGTCAGGAGAGGCAGGTGGGGTCAAGGGAGGCAGATGTTGTCAGGGGAGGCAGGTGGGGTCAGGGGAGGCAGTTGGGGTCAGGGGAGGCAGGTGTTGTCAGGGGAGGCAGGTGTTGCCAGGGGAGGCAGGTGTTGTCAGGGGAGGCAGGTGGTGTCAGGGGAGGCAGATGTTGTCAGGGGAGGCAGGTGTTGCCAGGGGAGGCAGGTGTTGTCAGGGGAGGCAGGTGATGTCAGGGGAGGCAGGTGTTGTCAGGGGAGGCAGGTGTTGTCAGGAGAGGCAGATGTTGTCAGGGGAGGTAGGTGGGGTCAGGAGAGGTAGGTGGGGTCAGGGGAGGCAGGTGGGGTCAGGGGAGGCAGGTGGGGTCAGGGGAGGCAGGTGGTGTCAGGGGAGGCAGGTGGTGTCAGGGGAGGCAGGTGCTGTCAGGGGAGGCAGGTGGTGTCAGGGAAGGCAGATGTTGTCAGGGAGGCAGGTGTTGTCAGGTGGGGTCAGGGGAGGCAGATGTTGTCAGGGGAGGCAGGTGCGGTCAGGGGAGGCAGGTGTTGTCAGGGGAGGCAGATGTTGTCAGGAGAGGCAGGTGGGGTCAAGGGAGGCAGATGTTGTCAGGGGAGGCAGGTGGGGTCAGGGGAGGCAGGTGGTGTCAGGGGAGGCAGATGTTGTCAGGGGAGGCAGGTGGAGTCAGGGGAGGCATATGTTGTCAGGGGAGGCAGGTGGGGTCAGGGGAGGCAGGTGGTGTCAGGGGATGCAGGTGGGGTCAGGGGAGGCAGGTGGGGTCAGGGGAGGCAGGTGTTGTCAGGGGAGGCAGATGTTGTCAGGGAGGCAGGTGTTGTCAGGGGAGGCAGGTGGGGTCAGGGGAGGCAGGTGGGGTCAGGGGAGGCAGGTGTTGCCAGGGGAGGCAGGTGGTGTAATTACCTAAGTGTAGTTACAGGATGAGAGCTACGCTCGTGGTGTCCCGTCTTCCCAGCACTCTTTGTCATATAATGCTTTGAAACTACTGACGGTCTTGGCCTCCACCACCTTCTCACTTAACTTGTTCCAACCGTCTACCACTCTATTTGCGAAGGTGAATTTTCTTATATTTCTTCGGCATCTGTGTTTAGCTAGTTTAAATCTATGACCTCTTGTTCTTGAAGTACCAGGTCTCAGGAAATCTTCCCTGTCGATTTTATCAATTCCTGTTACTATTTTATATGTAGTGATCATATCACCTCTTTTTCTTCTGTCTTCTAGTTTTGGCATGTTTAATGCTTCTAACCTCTCCTCGTAGCTCTTACCCTTCAGTTCTGGGAGCCACTTAGTAGCATGTCTTTGCACCTTTTCCAGTTTGTTGATGTGCTTCTTAAGATATGGGCACCACACAACAGCTGCATATTCTATCTTTGGCCTAACAAAAGTCATGAACAATTTCTTTAGTATATCGCCATCCATGTATTTAAATGCAATTCTGAAGTTAGAAAGCATAGCATAGGCTCCTTGCACAATATTCTTTATGTGGTCCTCAGGTGATAGTTTTCTATCTAGAACCACCCCTAGATCTCTTTCTTTATCAGAATTCTTTGAAGATTTCTCACATAATATATAGGTTGTGTGGGGTCTATGTTCTCCTATTCCACATTCCATAACATGACATTTATTAACATTAAATTCCATTTGCCAAGTGGTGCTCCATCTACTTATTTTGTCCAGGTCTTCTTGAAGGGCATGACAATCATCTAAGTTTCTTATCCTTCCTATTATCTTAGCATCATCAGCAAACATGTTCATATAATTCTGTATACTGTACCAACTGGTAGATCATTTATGTAGACAATAAACATCACTGGTGCAAGAACTGAACCCTGTGGTACTCCACTTGTGACTATGTATCGGACTCCAGTCCGATACATAGCCTCTGATTACTGCCCTCATTTTTCTATCAGTCAGAAAATTTTTCATCCATGATAGAAGCTTATCTGTCACCCCTCCAATATTTTCCAGTTTCCAGAACAACCTCTTATGTGGAACTCTGTCGAAAGCCTTTTTTAGGTCCAGATAGATGCAGTCAACCCAACCATCTCTTTTCTGTAATATCTCTGTGGCTCGATCATAGAAACTGAGTAAATTCGATACACAGGATCTTCCAGATCGAAAACCATACTGTCTGTCTGATATTATATCATTTCTCTCCAGGTGTTCTACCCATTTAGTTTTGATTAGTTTTTCCAATACTTTCACTATTACACTTGTCAATGATACAGGTCTATAATTGAGGGGGTCTTCCCTGATGCCACTTTTGTAGATTGGAACTATGTTAGCCTGTTTCCACATGTCTGCTACGATTCCTGTACACAGGGATGCCTGAAAGATCAGGTGAAGTGGAATGCTGAGCTCAGATGCACATTCTCTCAGAACCCATGGTGAAACGCCATCTGGGCCAGCTGCTGTGTTCTTACCGAGCTCCTTGAGCATTTTTTCCACTTCGTCTCTAGACACCTCTATGTGCTCTATGTTGTTCTCTGAAACTCTTATTGTA